GTGCACATTTGGGCCGCATTATGCTAATATTGCCACATAGTGAGGTAGATATGTGGGGGCGTGTTAGAACCAGCCGTTTTAGGGGGGTGTGGCAGAGTCTTAACTTTGATAAAGAATATCTCTTTGGTTTTGAGACTTTAGTCTTTGCAACTTGAGGGATCTTATCTATGCACAATCAGCTTGTAACACTCCAAAGAGAAAGGAAAACTTGAAATCGCATCATATGACCCCTTTAACTTTTTTGAAAAGACGCTGTGAGCTGCAGAAAAAAAAAGCCGGTGGTGGCGTTTAAAAAAGCGCTCATTACTTTTTTGAAAACACGGTTTACTCCATAGGATTATAATGTAAAACAGACACTGGCAGCTTCAAAAAAGACACCAAGTGTGAACACAGCCTTAAGTCAATTTTAAGACACTTTTTCCAAAGATCACCGGTTTACTGATGCATTTCATAAGAAACTCATAACAAGAGACCAATTTAAACTCCTAACTATATATTTAAGCTTACATCACCATTCTGTGTCACTGCAGGTTCACTGTTCTAGACAGCATTAGTTATATGTGAAACTCCTCACCTGCTTTATAGGAGATGTAGGAATGGACAATAGCAAGAGTCCCTGGCCACTCAATGGCATCTTCCTTCTGCAGAATCTGAAGAAAACATGTAACTGAATGATACTGAAATACACAATTTTTCACGGTCTGAATTGCATTCAAAGTAATACACACAAAAACACAAACGTACATAAACAAACACACATAAACATTAATGTGGAAATGAATTTAAAATAGTGAAATCAAATGAAGTGGAAAGAAATGAGGCTACCTAAACTTTCAAAGTTTGGAGCAGTCTTGATGTAAATTTCTGGTTTTTAATATTTGGAATAAATATTAGGTCCTGCATCAATTTCTTCCAACTTCAGAGGTCTTAAGCAGCAGAACTGTGGGCTCGTGCCTCTGGTTTTGGCGTTTTAGGCAGAGCTGCATGACGCCCAGATGATTAGCAAGTATCACATATGACTGTATTATATTATGTGACACATATAAGCACTAAATACTGACTCGTCAGTCAAAACCTCATGCTTATAGTCTCTATTCCATCTAAATTGAGCTTGTTTTTAAACAGAACATTTTTGGTTGGTTTGAGTAAAATAGTGGCCTCTTTGTCCTCAACTTCATCAAATTTTGCTCTGAAATTACAATGCCATTCATATTAAAAGTCTCTATATTGAAAGAATATAACCTGAAAGATTTAAATTAACTCTATAAAGACTGTCTGCTTTGTAAGACCAGTGACAAAAGTGAAACGTGACATGGCATGGTACAAAAAATGAAATGATTAACAATAGTGAGAGTGAACGGCAATGAATCTCTCAGTTACCTGAGACTCTTAATTCACCTCCGCTACCACTAGATGTCGCTGGTGAGCACAGTGAACAGTGGGATAGGGAAGTCTGAATTGTCTCAGTAACTGTAGTGGACTATCACAGTTACTTACATCCCCTGCTGAGCTGGGGCTGGGTGAGGGTGAATGAGATGGAAGGGTGAGTGAGAGAGCAGGGGAGAATGGGCTGCCCGCAGTGGGCCGCTGTAGGTCTGGGGAGGTAGAATGATGGCTGCTGGTGGTTGGGGGGAGGGGCCCCCGCTCCACAATACTGCAGTTTTTAGAAAGGCGACCTGGGTGAGATGAAACAAAGGACAAACAAAACACAAAAGAAAAGAAAAAGAAAAGAAAAGGAAGACAAAACATTGGTGTAGCATACCTCTGACAAGCTGTCCTCATTGGCTAGGGTAGCAGGAAGGAGCAGACGGGGGTGGTGTGATGGTGGTTGGGAGGGAGAGAGCAACGTTAGATCACAAAAGGAAGCATTGCATGCTGGGTAACAACACATTCTGCAAAAGCTGGCCTCAGATCAGTTGATAAAGGCAGAAGGCATTATATTTAGGCAGATGGGGATAAGAAATGCCAATAACAAAGAACGATCAGAGGGCAATGATTCAAAGAAGCTTATCAGTCATCAAGAAGCTTATTTTCATCTACAGCTAACACAGATGCTGTTAAATGTTAAGACGAGCCTTTAGGTGAATATGCAGCATCATATATCAACAGACATTGCACATTCATGTGTGCACTGGGCATTAACAGAACAAGTTCTTTATCAACAAGTACTAATAGCACACAGGGTAGCAAAGTTTCAACATCATATATATAAAAAATAATAAAGTATTATTGTTTTAAATTAGCTCTATTCATTTTACACATAAACCCAAGTCAAGAGTTTAATTCAACTAAACGATACAGCCGATAATATGACTTGGTCCCAAATGTGTTAGAGATCTATTTAAGAAGTCCAAAACAGGAAACAGTTCCTTTAGCTTCTCAACAAACACTACTACTGGAGGAGGATATTCAAACAAATATATTAACTACAGGTTTTAAATGAGACAGGAACTTTTTAATCCAAAAATAACAAAAAGCATAATTTTGGCTCTACTGCAAGTTATTCTGATCACATTAATACTCACATACTTCACTTTTGACAGATATTTGTCTCAAGCCACATTTTCGTGCTCACAGCTTCAGTTCTTTCAGGGACAGTTTACCGTAAGATGAAAACTCATTTGCTCACCCTCATGTTAAAAGAAGATATTTTGAAGAATGTCTCAAATTTTTTAAAGTCAGTGGCGTCCAATGTTGTTTAAGACTCAGAGTTTCCATTATACGGACAAGAACAATCAACAAAATCTTCAAAATATCTTATAGAAAGAAAGTAAGTCATACAGGTTTGGAACAACATGAGGGTGAGTAAATGATGACAGAATTTCTGGGTGAACTACCCCTTTAATATGCAACAGACTGGTCATATCAAAAGTATCAAAAGATAACTTTGGTCAACTATAATGCTGCGTTTTGAGTTTTTGTACTTGAGTCTGTCCAATACATGTATTAGTGGCACACTATTGATGCAGTATTGTCGCACCTTTAGGATGTGCACAATTCGTCTAATTGTAAATCTATCAAGCAGGCTGTGAACATTGTCTGAGTCTTTTACTAATGTATACACTTTTACAGCAGCCTGAAGACAGTCATTATCCCACTTAACACACTGCAGGGTCATTTCTTTCTGCCTCACACATACACTCCAGAGTGCCTGTAAGCACATCACATAATCAAACAGTCATTACTGTTGAATGTGTGCTTGTGTGAGACGGAGAGAGACTGACTGATGGGAGTAAAGCTGAGTGGATCAGTTCAGGATGAGAGCTGTAGAAAAAGGGCTTAAAGAACTGAATAATAACTGGCTAGTGATTTTTAGAGCAATAAAACTAGACAAATTAGTCATTTTTGTCACATTTCACAGATGTGGATAATATCTATGTTGTGAAAAACTCGTTTGCATTTAGTTTTCAACTTGAAACATTCAAAATGATTAAATGTTTCTCTTTTTTTTTTTTTGACCTTTCAACGTTCAAACAAAATGCCATAATTTGTTCTTCCAGTGAAACAACAGACTTCTTTCGCTTTAACCCCGCCCCTTTCTTACAATCCACTGCAAACTCCCATTCAGATCTGCCTCCAATCCAATCAACAACCAATGCATAGAACCAAGTCTTTCTTTTTGATAATCCATTACACTTGGATATGTTACAATTTGGAGGAAAAGATCTGTCGCTACATCAGTTACATCGCAACTTCAATGTCAGAAGCAGAAATGGTGGAGGACAAGTTAAATCCCTAAAGTAAGAATGAAAGCAACAGTGATGCTTGCCTTAGCAAAAACCTCTAACAACCTGTTATGTCTATGCTTGGATTTTTTCAAGCAGAGTATCTAATAGAGGCACAGAAAGACAGCGTGATTGGCTGAACTCACCTCTCTTCCTGCTAGACTGGTTTATGGAACTCAGATACGACACTGAGCTCTTCTTCCGCTGAAACACAGAAGCATAGATATGTAAATGTAAGCATGGCTCATTCCATTGGATATTTTCAATCTGTTTCCACTAAACTGCTCTTGTTTAATGTGTGTGTACGTTTGTTACCTCTGGTTCAAACATGGCTCCACTATATATTGGATTTGCTGTTGTTCGTCTCTTGCGTTCCTGACGCCTGCTTTGAATCTCTACACAAGCAAAGCGGGAAAGGTCAATACACATGCATGCACACAAACAAACCCACACACAGACACATTTCTTTCTCCTGACCTTCTAGATAGTCGCGTGTGACCAGTCCCAGAGACAACATGAAGGCCAGTTTCTGTGGAAAGAATGCATGCCATTATCTAAGTAATCAACATAATCTACATCACCATACTTATCATTATCTTTATTATAAACTGTGATGTAAACATAAATGTATTTTACCAGAGGGCTCTCCTGATGTTTGGAGGCAGGAGTGTGTGTGTTGGTGGGGGCAGGTGAAGATGGCGTATCTAAAGACAGTGGAGGTGAAGTGTGTGTAGGCGTGTCTGGAGAGATGAGCAATGAAGTCTTTGGCTCTGTCCCATATTCCACTGTGGGTATCTGAAGCAGAAACAAAGATGTTTTAATACACTACAATTCAAAGGTTTGCGGTCAGTAAGATTTTTTTTTTAAATGTTTTTGAAAGAAGTCTGTGAAAATACAATAAAAATGTATTATAGTGAAATATTACAACAATTTAAAACAACTCTTTTCTATTTGAATATATTATAATTGTCATGTACTACTGTGATGGCAATTACAGTCTTCAGTGTCACATGATACTTCAGAAATCAGTCTAATATTCTGATTTGGTGCATAAGAAACATTTCTTATTATCATCAATTATGAAAACAGTTGTGCTGCTTAATATTTTTGTGGAAACCATGATACATTTTTTGTTTCAGAATTAGTTGATGAATAGAATGTACAAAAGAACAGCATTTATTTGAAATATAAATAATTTCTTTACTGTCAGTTTAATTTAATGTGTACTGCTGAATAATTAAAAAAAAAAAGCCAATATTAGAAGGAGACAGACAAAGATGGCTGCTGAGTGAACCGACTTTCCTTAAAGAAATGTTTTATGTGCTAATGAATGTTTTAGAGTAAACCTAAATACACTTCATGTGAATTTCCCTCACCGTGTTGTCAGAGCTTGGGCTGTTGTGAGGTAACTGCTGTGTGTGTCTCTGCGCGTGTGTAGATGTGGAGATCAGGATGCTTGTGTTGTTACAGCTGTTGGGGCAGGGCAGGCCATTGAGGATACGCATCTGCTGGACGTGACCAGAGGAAGGGAGGGCAGTGCTCAGTAACACCGGTGACTGTAAGGTGTGCACAGAAACCTGAGCAGCAGCTGGAGACAAAGACACTGGAGGTTTTGGCCTGACCTGCTCACACACAAACAGGAAAAAGAGAAGAATTATTTGTGGAATGACTGGAGAAAATAAAAGGTGGACCTAAGCAGTGAAAAAATGACTGAGGTATCAGAAAAGTGATGCTCAACTCGGCAGTTTAACACAGCGGCTCTTTCACATCTAGATTTCAGTCTCACAGAAAGATGTTTCCTACATTACTACGCCACAATACCACCAGCTCCACTCCAATATAATTGAAAATTGTCTATGTATTGACTATTATTTTATATTATAATTAATTTCAATAAAATGTTTAATTATTTGTTATGAATAACCTTATCTTTTAGTTTGCATCCATCAAGTTCTGAATGAAAAGAGAAAATAAAACGAGATGAAGTACCTTTTATTTGTAAAGTATGCAATTTACTCAATTATGAAAAAAACTTTGCATCATTTAATATATGAACCATTTTTCAAATAAAATTTCCAACTTAAATGATAATATTATATAAATGACTATATTTTTATGTGATATACACTATATAAAGTTTGAGGTCAGTAAGATTTTTTTTAAAAATATTTTTAAAGAGCAGGTCATATGGGTTTTTGAAAAATATCTCTTTTGCAGTTTATAATGTAGCTATCCTTAAATGAAAACAATCTGCAAAGTTGTTAAAGAGGTCATATGATGCTGCTAAAAAGAACATTATTTTGTGTATTTGGTGTAATGAAATGTGTTTATGCGGTTTAAAGTAAAAAAAAACACATTATTTTCCACATACTGTACATTAATGTTTCTTCTCTATGCCCCGCCTTTTTGAAACACGTCGATTTTTACAAAGCTCATCGGTCTGAAAAAGCGAGGTGTGCTGTGATTGGCCAGCTATCTAATGCGTTGTGATTGGCCGAATACCTCAAGCATGAGACGGAAATGTTACGCCCCTCACCATACTGTTGATGCCGTGTCCCGGCCGGAGCGATGAGGCAAAAACATTAAAACCCATTACAAACAAGGCATTTGTTGCATCCAGTGGGGACATAATTACTTTAAAATACCATATGACCTGCTCTTTAAAGATATTTATAATGTTAAAAAGATTTTCATTTTAAATACGTGCTGTTCTTTTGAACTATTTATAAAATAAATAAAATGGGACGTGACACTGAAGACTGGAGTAATGACTGCTGAAAATTCAGCTTTGCCATTGAAGGAATAAAATACATTTGAATATATAGAAAAGTTTTATTTTAATTAATATTTTACCAGTTTTTGATCAAATAAATGCATCCTTGGTAGGCATAAGAGACGTTTCAAAAAAACATTTATTTTTAAATCTTATCAACCCCAAACTTGTGTTCCGCCATGTTATAGAAACTTACAATGTGATGTATGATTTATATCAACCAACCCTAGCATATATGCACACACACACACACACACACACACACACACACACACCATATACAACAGAGAATACAACAGCACAGAATACTGCTGGAGAGAGATCAGGGTTAAGGTTCAGTTTACTGTAGGGTCAAAAGCAACAGCAAAAGCAGGGATTGCAAATGTCACCACTAAGCAAGCACAAAGAAATTAAATCCAGAGCAAGAAAACAAGGTGGAGCATGAAGAAAATATCATACAGAAAAGTAACACCTGCAGCTGAAAAAAAACCAAGACACATAGATGCACACTAACACTCAGCAGTGAGGGGTTTTCACTAGTCCAACCAGGCATTAGGGTGTGAAGGGTTTCTATGGAAACAAACCTGCGGTAGAGTGGCTGGCCGAGTTGTCTGTCTGGCTGGAGGAACAAACTGAGGAACTTTGATTGGTTGGGAGGCAGCTTGCACCTGTGACAAGACCGCCCATTTAGACACCCTTACTTCACTAATCTGTCCAACATATTACATCCTACAAGAAATACCTTTAGCTATTTAAGCCACGAATAGAGGCAGATGCAATGCAATAATTGTGTCTAAAATCTAAAAGAACCAGCCCTGAGCTCTTGGGATCTAAATTAAATCCGACAGCCTGAAATTGCCCCCCAACACATATGCAGTTTTCAAAACAAGTGGGAATAAACAAAACTCTTCTTGTTCTATAATGAGGGCCAAAACAGCTCTAGAAATACTTACAACAACAGTGCTATTGGGTATGACTCGCACCGGCTCTGCTCCCTGATTGGTCGTTTGGATGACTGGTTGGAAGTTTACTGGGGACTTTTGAGGATCTGAGCTAGGAGGGCTTGCCAGGAGTGTGTTGCCAAGGGTTGTAACCACGGTTATAGTAGGTCCTGGTGTCATGATGATAGGTGAGGTGGGTGTGGCAGCTCTCAGCATCAGAGGTAGAGTCTTTGAAGCAATGACAGGGGCCACAGAGCTCTACAGGGTCACAAACACATACACGTGTTGTAAACATGTTTATTTTTTTCTTTTATAGGTCAGGTCTTACTGAACCTAATGCTCTGCAGAATATTCTGGCGACTCTTCTTATAATGAAAAAAAAAAGCCACTGAGATAATGTCACTGAAGCTACCATGAGTATAACTGCCATTTTTGCCTTAATGACATATCTAAAAAGAAAGTTGACATATGTCAATGTTTTTTAGTATTTTTAGCAAATACTTACATACGTAAATATTCAGTCTCCTCTACTGACCAGTACGTAAGACGTAAATAAGCATATGCACATCCCTAAGATGTAAACTGCGTGTGCACAAAGCATTTTTGAATCTGAATGAAAAAAAACTGTTTGACCATTGATCAAATTATTTCAGGTCTCTTTAAGTTATTTGGATCGATTAAGGTGTTTACATGAAGGTTTTTCAGTCCAATTAAGCCATCAATGCGATTACTTGGATGTGTGTAAATGTAGCTATTAAGTCTCACAAGATCAGTTTGATTCATAAATGAATAATTCAGACCACTGACTCAAAACAACCAATTTAAAGAAACTACTTCTCTCACTGACTTTCACGAATATGCCAAAGAGAGTTAGGGCAGATGTCAAGTGGATAACAAAATTAAACTTTAAGCCCATCCTTCACACAAAGCTATAATATGGCTTCAGGAGTCACATGGACCACTTTTATGGTGCCCCTGTTTGAAGCTTGAAAGCCTCAGTGCTTAGCCTAACTGCATGGAAATCATAACCAAAACAATATTCAGAAATTTCTCATAAAAATATTTCTATATGGACCATTTTTATAATACTTTAGGGTGTGTCTTTGTCATTTTGGAGCTTGACAGCCCAGGTCTTCATTCCTTTCGTGTTCCCAGAAAGAAAGTCAGTCATATGGGTTTGGAACAACATGAAGACAAGTAAATAATGACAGAATAGCTTGTTTGCACATGACGTCATGTCACTGCATAGCTGTGCAGATTAAGGGCAGGAGGTGATTTTCTACATATGAAGCACTATCACAAACTCGAAATGCATATGTTTTGCGTTGTTTATGGTTGCTCAAATCGATCAAACTGAGAAACCACAAGGATCTTTTATAGTGTACCAAAAGTTGTTGTTCATAAGTAGGAAAAAAGCAAGAAATTGACTGAAAAACGCAGGAAAAAGTGGCTTGTAAACCTGCGTCTGCAGTCGGAAAAAGCAGAGTCAGATAATGCTCATTTGCGCAAATGGTTAAGATATTAATAATATATTAAAATATCACAAACATATTTAAAACTATACATAGTAATACAACAGGGCTACAACTCTCACGCATTCAGCGTGAAACATTCAGAATTCACTCACTGCTAAATGCCACATAGACACGATGTAAATAAGAGATTCATTGTGCAGTTTAGAGAGCTCCGTTGATTATAACAGAACATTGTGAGATTGTGATAAACTGAAGAGAGTGACAGCTTTTTAGTGATTATATGGAAGCATATAAATGAGGGATTCACTTTTGAAATAGCTTGTTTGCAATCAGGGTTAGTTGGATCATGTCCAACATATGTTGTGATTTTCTGTTTATACCTTTCTCTTGTAATAGTGTCTAAACCAGTACAGTACGGACTTTCCTCCATCAAATCCATTCTGCTTTTAACTTCCTGCCCTCCATCTGAATTCCACGCGTCATCAGAATCGTGACTGCAAACAAGCTATGTTTTAGTTTTGTGTGAACTAAACCTTTAAATGTTCATCTAAAACAAGGCATTGTCTTTAGAGAGATCCTTTCTTCTTGTGTGTTGTGTGGGTACCTGTGGAGCAGTGAGGCTGGCAGCAGGCAGAGGCGTCTGTGTCTGTGTGATGAGCAAGGTAGATGTTTGCCCATCGGCTTGAAGTGTCTGCAGCTTCATATCTTCCTGTTTCACCAGTAGATCTCTCCTTAATTGCTCCACCACCTTTTTCTGAGGGAGAAAGAGAGAACAAGTGCATGTTCATTTTTTGTGTGTTCTGTCACTCGAACCTGCAATGAAATCTCCCTCACTCACACCCTCTCTTTCTGCCTGCTGTTGATAAGAGAGTTTGTGGTGTTGGATTTTGGGCCAGCAAGAGGGAACATGGAGTCCTTACAGCTGAACATCACTCTCTCTTTGTCTCTTTCTGTCTCAGGCAGGGGGCAACAGTATTCTGCTTTCAAAAACATCTTAAAAGTGTAAAAAAAATGGATTATGGCATAACAGGAAAATTTAGCAGTAATATATTACCATTAGCATCAGCTGTGACTATGAACTATGTCTGGTATACAACTGAAAGGAATGTCACTACGTTTGCTTCTTCAAATCAAGCGTAAACTCAGTAATTAAGGAAAGATATATTGAAGTAATGTGAAACCTGTGTCTAAAACTTTGCCCCTCTATTCCATTATTAAGGTATTCTTATTTATTAGCAAATCTTATTCAGTGTTTTTTTGTCAATATTTATCTATTAAAGGGTTAACTTTCAAAAATGAAAATTAGCCCATAAATTACTCACCCTCAAGTCATCCTAGGTGTATATCACTTTCTTCTTTCAGATGAATCCAGTCGGAGTTATATTAAAAATGGTCTTTGATCTTTCAAGCTGTTTAATGCCACTCAGCGGGAGTTGCATGCATCAGTCCAAAAGAAGTTAAATAAAAAGCACCCATCCATAAAAAAAAAAGTGTCTCACATGGCTCCGGGGGGTGAACAAAGTCCTCCTGTAGCGAATCGATGCGTTTTTGTAAGAAAAATAACCATAGTTAAAACGTAATAATCACTTTAATATAGCTTGCCTTCTCTGTTGTACACGGAAGGAGTTCCGGGCGGATGACGTATGAGGTCAGCTTTGCGCATGCGCCATTCAGAAGTGACGCACGCTGAAACGCAGCGGAGAGATCAAAACAAAACAACGGTCACTAATTAGAAGTACAAAACGAGGATTTGTAAAGAAGAATGTCGGAGGATTTCGATATAAGCCAAGAGGAGACTGGTTTTCCTTTGCTAAAGTAAGGAAACTTTGCTCCCTTTGCTCCTGTTAACAAACGTTAGTTTTCAAGAGACTCACCAGCGCATACGTAAAGCCGACCTCATATGTCATCTGCCTTGAACTGCTTCCTAGGGGTGCGCCGATCCGATATTCAGTATCGGTATCGCTCCGATACTGGCATTTTCTGCTGGATCGGGGTATCGGTCAGACGAGACTGATCCAAATCCGATGATATAGTGCGTATACTATTCTGTGTTATTATTAAGCCCCATGAAAGCCACAAAAACATTATAAAGCACCATAAAGTTTTCGTGCACTATATTTCAAGTGTTCTGAAGCTTTTCCATAGTTTAATGTGAGGTACAGATGAATATTTAAGTCAAGTTCACGTAAACTCTTCTCCCCGCTGCGTCTGTCTGCCATTCAGCATGTGTCACGTTCGGTTATGATAGTCAAGACAATGAAACTCTCTCAAAGATGATTAAATGTATTAAATGTTATACTTGATCTGTAAATAAAGATAAATGGTTTTGCATAAAAGGAATTTATCTTGCTGGAGTTTCGTGCTGTTTCTAAATCGTGTA